TGTATAATTTTTAATTTGAGTAATTCGAACAATGTATGCGCTACTACAATTTCAGCTATTAAATTTTTAATCCATTGAAATTGAATTGCTCCGAAAAATTAAATTTTTATAATCCATCATTTACACAAAATAATCTGTTGAGCTTGCTATTGTTATTAGGTTTATTATTGTTAGTATTAATTTAACAAATAAGCACTGCAATTTATACTATGATGAATTTAATATTAATGATAAATCATTTTGTATTTTTTTAACACAAGAAATCACATGACTACCTACATATTATTATTACAATTGTATACTACATAACCTAAAGACTAAAACTAATATCTTATCTTATCTTTCAACAGCCATTAGAGTGCTTAAACTATTCATCATTTATTTATATAATATATATTTTTTTAAGGGTGGCAAGTTAGCACACTTAAAGTTGAGCATGTTCCACTGTATTATATACATATTATTGTTTAAACATAATATAACTATATGTATTTTAAAAATGAGTATACCTGTATACAACTATTATTAAATATAACAAATGCCTTACAAAATATTGGTGATTAGCCAAATAAGAATCTTAGGATATTGGAGAAGTACTTCTAGAAAATAAGCATATATTGTATAGTTATTTAGTATGTTATTATTAAATTGGATAGGTATCAAGAACATGACGATTATTATGTACCTATAGTCTATACATATAATATATATGCATAATTTAAAATTTAATACAATAATGATGTCCACTAAAAAAATAGGCCATACAATAGGTACATAGCGTTTGTTTGGCGTCAATTAATGTCAACATTTTATATGTAAGGTGCAGTATGATGGCAGTAGGCGGATGTTGACAGTTACCAAAAATTGTAGTGAATGTTGACAAAATGGTCTTAACGTGTCAATACACCGGTGATTGTTGACATAATCAACTCAAGTCACAACAGATTTTTAATTAACCAAATATCAATTTTCAATTGTAAGATTTTTCTTTATCACTATCTCACATAACTATCTATACTACATAATACTGCAGTAGTGCTGTTGATCACAAAAAAAAAGAAAAACGTAAATAGAAAATAACTTAAAAAACATGTATGATATCGCTGTCTATTGATAAAAGTTGTAATCGGTTACGGACTTTTCGTACACTTAAAGAGGTTCTAAAAGCTGCCGATAGATGTCATTGCCGTTATCGTTCGAATGTGAAAGCTTCGATAAAATAATATCGCCATCGTGGTTGACCCAATACTTGTCTTATTAGTTATTTTTTATGTGTGAGTTAAACTATTTGTATTATATTAATATCTTGGTTAGATTTGTATTGTTTTGATAGAAAATCATTAAAATCAAAATGTTATATATAAATGTTACAATCGTTTTATAATATTATTTAATGTTTGCCTGCCATTTAAAACTTTTTTTCTAAACGATTGTATAATATTTTATAATAAATTTTTTTGAATGAAATTATTTTAGTTTCCCATCACCAATTTTCATTATAAATTTCTAACTTTGTGTGTATTAGCACGTCATAGTAAAATCAAGACATAACTCTAGATGTGGTAATATTGGTATAACAGATAATAAAATAATTTTCAGTAAATACCGATAGTATATCAGTGTTATCACAGTGATAATATTTATAATGATATAGGTAGGTAGATACAATAATTTTAATAATACTAACGTCAGGTTGACTTGCATTGACACTATTAACTACACTATTTAGACGTTACAAATCGGTTAGTTGGAATAATGTTTAAATATTATAGTCGTTTAATATTTGTACAATGATAGGTACCAGGTTTAACCTTTTAAAATATATTTTATAGAACAATAATGTATTATATTTTATATGTGTATGTTCCGTGTATCTTGGGACGTATTTAGGGTGGGCGAGGGAGTGCCATCGCCCCGAACGTCAATTTTTTATGGAATTTAGGGGTGGCTGCATTTTTTTGTAACCATAATTTATCATAAATTTTTATTCGTCAATGAAGAAATTAAAATATTTTAAGGTATTAGATACACAACGTTCTTTTATTTTATGTTAGAATATCATCAAAAGCTGACGAGTAAAATCCATAGATAATGAATGTTATCTATCATATAAAATGATAGTTTACGTCATCGTTATTACTCAGGTATAAATTTTATTATTTTGGTTTTTAAGTGTAGTGTAAATTATAATATCTGTCTAGTATGTTTCATGTGAACAATTAAACCTACAAGAGATCAGTGAGAAGAAATCTAGTCACAAATTATAATGTTATGTTATTTGTATAAAATGTATAGTCAGATTTTCATTACATTTTTTTTTCTTAATCGCATTTTTTTGTTGGGGGAATGCAGGGGCGGAAATACATTTTATATGGGGCGTCAAAACTCTATGCGTCTCTGCGTAAATCTATCTTCAATTTTATTGTAAACTTATCATAAATATTATTTATGCATACACTTTTTCCAGATTTTATATTTTTATTGATATGTATTTTAAGCTATCATTAGTCGAAAAAAAAATTATTATTATTATCATTATTATTATTATTATTATTATTATTATTATTTTTTTTTTTTTTTTAATTGATCCTGAGCCCGGCAACTGTGGCCATTAGCTATTAGTAGGTACTGTAGGTTTTTGTATTGATGGTTTGTAGGTTTTTGGAACGGTAGGGGGAACACGTGTGTGTTTGTTTTGGCAGAATTTCGAATGGGGCACCCGTAGGTTTCTGCCATGCCCCGGGGGTGGGGGATGGCAGCACTTGCTCTCCGGTCACCGCGACTTGTCCGGAGAAAAATGCCGCCCGGTGGCCGAGGATCGAACCGCGACCGGCTGCGTCGCAGCGGAAGAGTCAGACCACTCGGTCACCTCGTCCCCCTATTATTATTATTATTATTATTATTATTATTATTATTATTATTATTATTATTGTTATTATTATTATTATTTATTATTATTAATTATTATTATCAAAAAAAAATTATTCACAAATGTGTTATAACTTTATAAGTAGCATGCTACTGAGTACTGGATATTTCTTCATGATAAATAATTGAGGAATCATAGATAATACGTTTTTGAGTATGATAGAGTGGACAAATATCTAACTGCATGCTACATTTTGTTAGGAATTTTATTTTATTTAAATTAATTTTGTTGTTGTTGTTGATTTGCGTTTATATGGCAATAAATAAATCGTTAAGAAAATCGGGTTCTCGAATTTGGTCGGAAAAAATGTTGTACCCAACTCCAAAACATATCTATGTAAATTTTTAAAATAAATTGCAGGTATTGATCGACACCATTGCTGCAACAAGTGTCGACATTGTTTATGCACACATGTTCCTGTTTTCGAGTTCATAGCCGACCAGAAAACTTTTACGAAGATTTAAAACTTATTTTACCCAATACCTATCTAAAATGTTCTGCAATATGTGTTCAATATTACCTATGTTTGTAAGATTTACTAAGTCAGAATTAGGTATAAGTATTTATATTTGGTAATTATTAATAATCAGTATAATAATTAATGTATAGTTGCTTAGAATTGTATTTTTATATAAGTACGATTTGGAATAGATTTTATATAGGCTAGTATAATAATAAGTAGATAACCCAAATGTTTATTATTTTAAAAATGTTTTAATGTTTTTTTTTTATTTTAACCTTTTAACTATAAGCAATTTTATAATTTTTAATGTAAAACACTAATCCATTTTCCCGAGAGAAGCCCAATTACCTTTCAAGTTTTTGTTTTGATTTCAATGACTCCGGAAATTAAAAAATTATTTTCTTTATACTAATGTGTAAGACAGCTAGTATCTGAGACCTACCTTAAAGCGATTTGGAACTTGCCGTCTGTATTGGTTTAGCATAGGAAAAAAACCTCAACTTTATTTACTATGGTGATTCAAAGTGAAAACAAAATCAAATATCCTTGACCGTACGCTGCATACAATATGGCAACACAAATTATTCAATCCTTTAATTTACGATTTGACTTAAAATGATCGATAATTTTAGTACGCTTAACATGAATAATTGATCTTAATAATCTCTATTCAGGATAATAATGCCTACAATTCGAGCATGAATATTGATTACTAAGTTATCATTATATTTTGGTAATGGTATGAACCAATGCTTGCTAGTCAATATTATATAATAGTATTTACCAACCTTACTTAAGATAACTGCCGGTAGATTAATTATCTGTATTCATGGGTGAATTTGAGAGAGCTTATCCCGAATAAGGTAGATCGTGGCTACCTACATACATCATATTTTTTTAGTAGTGTGCAGTATTGCAAACATAGTATACGAGTAAATAATAGTATTGTCCTGTGTAGGTAAGTATAATATATTTTATATACCTGTTACTTATATTCTATAGATTAGAACATAATAATATAAAACTTTTACTTCCACGGATTTTACAATACTTATACTATCCACTACAATATATACGCCGAGACCGTTTACAGTTCATATAGGGTGATATTTTTTATCGTGACAAAAAACGATATTCTATAGCAACTACAAAGAATTAGTCATTTTATTTTTAAACCGTTTAAACCATTCTATCGTACATTTTTGTTGCGATTGTTAGTATATATTTGTTATAAAAATGTTTGAAAAAAAATCTTACTAAACTTCGTTTTATTTTCTAATCTATTTTTCCTATCTGGTTTGTGGTAAATCAATCACCTTGTAGGCACTTACCACGGAACACGTCAAAATAATTGGGGCGGAACTTCAAATCACTTGAATATATATAACATCTATATAATAATATGTAGGGAATGACCTACCGTATATACTTAAGATTCCATACATAATATTTATTTTTCGCGATTGATTATGATAATTATATTATTCGCGACTACGCTGTCATATACAATGTTTGTATACTTTATTGCGAAACCACGGGTGAATATACAAATACAAACGTTTCCATAGTCTCCACCACTTAGCAACTTGTGAAAGTACAAACACCAAGGTCCTCTTTGTACTTTCAAACGAACACGAGAAAATAATATTTGTAATATTCAAGTATAATACATTAAAAGTTGAAAGGAGAAAGACGCCCATAACGATCGGTGCTGTAGTGCGCCCGTTGTTTAGTCATAGGCAGCCGTTTAATATAAAACTGTTATCTACAAAAATCGCGAATCCACACAACCACGCACTTTACTACAATATTATAATACGCGACGTTATTGTGATTTCGTTTGTCCCGATGATAATAATTAATAACATAATATTCTAAATTATAATTACTCGAATAATATTATTCGTGTACGACAATTTTAATAAGACGTAATAACTCGCTAAACCTCGAATGTCGATTAAGTTTTTTTTTGTCGATCATTTGACATCGTCGTCATCGGGGTTAATATACACAGTGGACTTAGGTAAAATAATACTCGGGTAAATAACTGTATAAGGCCTAACTTATACCTATCTATACGCATTTAACTATTTGAGACACATAACGCTCTATCATTATCCTACGCGTGTTGCAGCACTATAAATATACAATATACATAGTAATAATATTATTCATTCAGACTGTTATTAGATTGCAATCCGCTTAATTGTTTTTTTTTCAACCCAAAACACCATGGCGGCGGAGGACTCGAAAAAATATTGTTTCGGTTTCATCGACCTACGCCGTGGTATCAAAATCATAGCTCTACTGAACATAGTAAGTATGCATTGGTAGTAATATATTATTAATATAATTTAATATTATATAGTTTTATGTATGACTATATGATCTGTTGAGCTGTAGACTGTAAATGAATAATTTAAAAACTTAAGTTAACTATATCGTTAACTCAATAATGCATCGATAATAAAAATAATATTATGTAATGACAAAACGAAAATTATTATTGTTATTATTTTTTTTTTTTTATTGATTCAATACTCTCGGTGATATGACCCATACAAAATCTGAATCGATAACATATTATTGAATGTGTACTTATTCTAATTATTCATTTTAAATTTTGGTTTGAACATTGGCGGCTGAGATAAATTGAATGATGTTGGCTATGTATTGATGGTGATCGTGGAGTATTTCAGCTAGTGATTCGGGGAGGTTGTGCTTGTGACTAATTCTGATGTTGTGGTATATTCGGCATTCAGTAAAAATGTGGTTGATGGTGACTTGGACACCACAGGCTGTGCATATTGGGGGTTCTTCTTTGGCCATTAAGAAACTGTGGGAGATTTGAGTATGTCCGATTCTGAGTCTTGATACTATAACTTCAAATAATCGATGTATTTTGATAGAGAATGTCCAATAATCGTTGCTATGTTTGATTCAGTTCAGTGGAATAGGATGTGACATCCTGGATTTCCATCTCTGGTGCCATCCTAGTGGGCATTTACTTCATATAAGCATTTTTATATCCCCGAATGAAGTTATTTGTGTAAACGATGACAGTGGAAAGGTGATTGAGGTTTTGCTGCGACTAGAGCGAGCTCGTTTTCGATGATGCGAGAGTGTCCGGGAATCCAGAAGAGTCTGATTTTGTAGTAATTGTTGTTTTGTAGAGTGTAGATTTTGTTTTGAATATATAGGTCAATGCCTGATGGGTTATATGTATTTTTAATATTATTGAGGGCGCTGAGGGAGTCAGCAAAGATGATGGTGTCTTGGAGGTGGTGATCGGTTATTAACCAGAGAGCTTTTATTATGACAATTGATTCTGCTGTAAAAACTGAGTAGGGAGCTAGGGAGTTTGTACTTGAATTACATGTTGTTCAAAATTACTGCAGCTCCAACCCCGTCTTGGTTGAACATTATTATTATTTTTATCATTTACTGGCAATGATTATCCATGTCGAATACATTTATTATTATTTATTAATTATTTCTCGTGTAGGTACCGCTCACGAATTTAACAGTATACCTACAAATAACAAATTGTATAATAATATGGTTAAGTCTGAAGCCGAAGGTGGTTAGATAGCACAAGATACTCGCACTTGTACCACTGCTTGCATACGTCTTGTATTTTCCTACTATTTTTAATTAGTTAGCACAGGGTGGATCTAGGAATGAAAAAAATCCAAAAGGGTGTAATGGGGTAGATACAAAATATAAAAAAGCCAGGAAATGTGAGAGCGTGCTGAATTCCCTGTTTCTAAACGATTTTAATACAAAGCAATAAACTATAGTTAAATGTATGTATAAAAAAAAATAATTTAGTAACCTTTATACGTGTTTTGGTACCAATGTTTTTAATACTGGCTAGTAATATATCAGAATATATATATCGGAATTGTTGTAAAATCTTAATACAAACAATCGAACATGCTATTTTTACAATTAGGTAGGTATGTATTTATGAAATGTATTAAGATATTCTTAAAACTTTAGAAAACTTTAAAGCATATGTTTATTTATATAAATTATGAGTGATTCTAGTTAGTAGCTTGTATAGGTACCTACTACCTATTAGGTATCGTTAAAATGTAAAAGACTATAAAATATTACACATTAAAAGATATAATCTTTGAAATGTATCGATGGGAGAGGTTATTATTAGAGCCCCTCACTCCTGTATCTACCCCACATAATATTGTCATCTTCATCATAATTCACAGTTATATCGATTTAGGATTTCTAAACTTTCTATATGGACATTGAACGATTGAACATAGCGTGTATAATGTTGGTGTTTTTAGAGGAATGCACAAAATATAATTTCTGGTTAAAACTAATTTTAACTCACCAACATAGATTTTAACGGTAAATTAATAACTGTGTAATTGATATCGATAAGAATTATGTTATTAATAATAATGTCTACTAATATTGCACTTCACAGTGCGCTGCATCAAAAATCTAAATCTATATGAATAAATGTGAAAATGGAAATTTTGTAGTGGTCTATCTTTAGTATTTTTCTATATTATTGTGAACCCAACTTCTGCCCACGAAGTATTGAGAGAAAAATTAGGAATAAACTAGTGGTAACGTCTGTCTAGTAAAATAAAATTAGTTAAAACAAAGAACATAATTTGTAAAATGCTGTATCTGACGATGAGGAATAACATGGCTATATGGATATTGCATTGACTTAGGTAGGTAACTATATAATTGAGTAATTAGTAATTATGTGGTGGTTATTATCAAAGTGGTGGAAATTTTTTTGAAATGCCTTGTATTACAATAAACACGGTTAATAACCTAAAGTACTGTGCTGTGTATACTGTGGTACTCACAGATAGTTTTAATCTTATTACACTATCACTATAAATACAATTCCAATGATCACCATGAACATATTATTATAAGACAATATGTATAGGTAAGCAAATTTGACCATGCATCTAAAAAATTCCAGGTTCAGCCCGCTCTTGATTTAGCCTGTACACACGCCTATGTTACGGGGCCGCACAACGTACCTAATATTTACTAAACTGTCTAAACTGTACAACATAATATAATTATATTATGTATTTATATTATTATGATATTATATTTGATTTGATGGATACCTTATTTTATTATTTCAGAGTGTTTTGTTCTTAGCCGTCGTATTGAATATAATTTTTTTGGTAATGGTACTAGGAGAAAAGTATCGTATACCTTCCTCAAGTAAGTGTATTTACACTACTAATTTTTACACGTACATTTTAATTTTTAATGTTGTTTGCATTTTCAACTCAAGATTTTATCAAAACGATTATTAATTGAAAACGTGTCAAAATGTATTATTTTTTAAGATTAAGATAATTTCGCTTTAAAAAATGAGGTATTGCTTTCTGTATTTATACAATATCAAAATAAGAAACTAATTTTAATATCCATAATTTTGGAAAATACTTAATAGAGCTTTTCGACGTTTTTCACTTTTGTTAGATTCTGAGTTGAGTGTTTTTCTTTTATTCTATAATAGCGTAAGTTAAATGGTTCAAAAATACTGTACATATAAAATATACTATACACGGCACAAAGTTTACATTGTGTGCACAATGTTTAAATTTCTTTTACGTTAATAATAGAAAATAATATTATTATGTATCATAATATTCATAAATGATTTTCTACTTAACTCTACCTATAGGTATATTAAATAATGTTTATACGAATTTCTACAGTGTATGTGTATTCTAATTGATCATAGTTGATTAGTAGAATAAATTATTAAAATATAGATGGATAATTTTAGACCATAAACACACACACACAATAAAGTTTATTTTTTTAATAAGAAAAACGTAAAAAAACAATATTATAAATTATAACTAATCACAGAATAGGAAAGCATAATTTTGTTTCAGCAGACAGAAATAAAACAAAAATATAATATTTTAACAGTCAACATTTTTCAACATTAAAAAATATTTATTGGATTAATATAATTATTAATTTCATTATTTTCGTAATTTATAACCTATGCGTACCTAGGTAATTCAACCGAAGAAATCAAAAACTATAGAATAAACACTATACATGGTTTATGTGCTTCGTCGTTTTTGGAAATTATACTTCTTTACTTCAACCTTGGTCTGAAGAAATCAATACACGAAGTAAGTTGAAAATACCGACGTAATAGTGCAAATAAAACAATATTAAACAAATTTAATGAACACACATTCATTTTATCAAGTTTCAATACAATTTAAATCGATTGGTGCTGCTACTTAAAAATAATTAGTTTGTCCCAAGTCCTCGTAATAAATGTAATTTTTATGCGAAGATGCTCCCTAATTGGATTTGTAAACAAAAATTGCATAAAATTGGGTGCATTGATTTTTGCGAACCATTAATAGGTATGTAATATTATGTCATGCATATGCAATATTGACAATAATTATTATGCCATTTGCAAATAATAGACGATGATTCGAGCAGAAATATTACATGGAGAATCTCATATTTTATTTTAAAACCACTTATTAAAAACAATTACAATTTTCAATCCTATAGTGATTAATACTAATATAATATCAAGTTGACTGCCACGAGTACCTACTACATATGGACCTCACGTGGTGTATATACCGTAGGCTTTTTAAATATTTTGAACTCTTTCATTTCATACTCTTTGATTACCAATAGTGGTACCCTTGTTTGACTCTCGAGCTTTGAGGGCCGATTTCAGTTGCCTTTTTTTTTATAAATTACGTCACTGAGTACCATTCCATTATTGGTACTCAATCAACTGATAAAATAAGACGGAATTCAAAAAATACCAAAAAAAAACCCGCGGCGTAAGTAAGAAAACCAGTGAATACCCGTTTTTGTACTCGTGGTGTTTGAGGACAATCATATTAAAATACTGGGGCAGTCAACTTGATATGGACCTTATATGAACTTACCCACGAATCTTTGTAACTAATTGTGAAAACTTCTATTTTCTTTTCAGCAAAATGTTCAAAATATCAAGCATTGGTTATTGTTGTATACAATGGTTTTATTACATATTTTCATTTACTACATTAGTGCGGCATTTGTATCTGATGAACCACTGTTCTTCTCGTGTATTGGACTTATCTCTAGTTGTATGTATCAAAATGTCTTTTCGGGAAACCGTTAACCGAATCGTCTCATAATATAATACTACTGCTAATCGATTATTTTAGTGATCATTTTGCTAATGCTGTACGTTGTAAAACGTTTTTACCGCGAAGAACTTGAACACTTGGCCCCCAGCAATACTACAGAAGACAATAATGTTACTCCATCACAGACCGCATGAATATGCAGAACGATCATAGACCGACAATGGTACCGAAAACTGGATTCCAGATGCAGCTGGACGCTGTACAATATGCTCTGCTAGACAAGCACAATATCTAATATTATTGGTTATTATTGCAAATGTCACACAATATTTTTTAGGCAAAAAACCAAATTTTATTTTTCACATTAACAAAGCGACTATTTTAATTAGTGGTTTTAAATAAATACGTTTTATAAAATACAGATAGGTCTTTAAAACAGTTCACATTTTCTTCATTTTTACGCAAGTTCACATAAGACTATTATAATAATACTTATAATATGTATGTAAATTACAATCATAATCACTAGGATGAAAACATTCACCATACAATGTAATATCGTAATATATTATATTAATATCTACTATCTACTCGTATTTAATATGACGTATAATAATTACCTCTATTTAAACAAAGCTAGTATGCCGTTTAATGACGGTTAATAGTCACTATAGTTATTGATCATGCATATATATTTTTTGTTGTTTAAGATATATTCCACAAACAAATACTTTTTTGTATTTTTCCTCTCATCACATGGTGTCTTTGATTCTAATAGCACGGTAAGAGGTTTTTGGAATCAGATACACACTATAACAAACGCTATAATACCCTATGCGCACTGCGCAAGCCAGCTGGTTTTAAAGACTTTTTTTTATATCTTCTACGAATGATTTGCTGTATATTTTACTTTTCATCAATACAGAGCTGGTTCACTTGGTTAGCATGTGTTCAAAAGTGGGTCCAGTGTTGGTGTATCGAAAACTGCGTCATCTGGGTTTAATTTTGAAAATACATTTTGTATAGTTGTAAAATTATCAGAATAGTAAAATGCCGCCTCTAACCATGTTCCCCAACGTGTTATTATAGGCACCGGAGGTAGAGGAATACCAGAAGCTTCTGTTTTAAAAATCTCTAAACGTGATGGTGTTTTCAAAAATACTTTTTTAACGTTTGACACAAGNGACGTGCACCATTTTTGAATAAAGCGCTTTTAACGAATTTGCAGCTTTAATCATATAGGGGGCGGCATCAGTAACAAATAAAAGAACATCATCGTGACGAATACCTTCTGGCCATAAAAGAAACATCGATTGATCAAAAACTTTACTAATTGTGAAGTAATTTGCTTTATCTAACTCTTCAGAGTTCAATAAATACAATTTACCCGGCGTATTTTTATCAAGAATACCAATAATCACGTTTGCTACGTAGCGGCCTTCGCAATCTGTTGTTTCGTCTATAGAAACAAATATTTTTTTGCCAACGACATCATTCCTAATTTTTTTAATTGTTTCTTCATAACAATCAGTTAAATAATTTTTGCGTAAAGTTGACTCTTCTGGTATTTCTTTACCTGTATATTTTGTTAAAAAATTACGAAATATTTTATTATTCACCTTGTGGAAAGGGATATTGGCTCCAAGAAACGCTCTACACATATCCATGTAAAATGATGATTTTTTACCGACCACATTGGAAATTAGTTGTTGTGACTGAGTTTGTTTCTGTCGATCAGCTGTGCGAATATGTTTGGCTGTCTTCAAGTGTTGTTCGACGGTAAAGCGACGTTCAGATCCAACTTTAATTTCACACACTTTACAATACAAAACTGTTCCATCCGTAGAAAAAACATCGTTTCCAAACTCGTCTACAAAACTTTTAAGACGAATTGAACAAGACGACTTACATTTCGGCATTTTTAAATAAAAGTACAACTGACCGCGGAAAAATATAAATAATAATAGGTACTCTTAACGACCGACCGGGAAACACGGCGATTAAAATCGTACTAATACGTGGCCTGGTCGTCGCCACATACTCATGGCATGAAGTGTATACAAAATTAAATCGTTATCTAATAAATATTCCAGACAAGCACGATATAAAAATACCTAATAAGGAACATTATTAATACGTAAATTTAATATTTACGTTAAATTGTCTTGAAATATGCATTTATATTCTTAAAATCAAAAATTATGCATTTAAAATACAAAACCACTAAATATGCAAAAATATGCAAAATAAAAATAGCATTATTTTATTCAGTAGAACATGAATCAAATTTGTATCCAGGTTAGCAATAAATTGGATAAATAGAAAAAAATATGCAATTTCATAAACATCCGAGCCCTAGTTATAATATTTAAATATATTCACTTTTTTAATAAACATTATTCTTATGTATAGAAATTAGAAACCTAAATAAATTATATATTCTCATTTGATTCAAAGTTAATAATTGTAGGAAATATTAATGTTACAAATAATATTATCTATATTTTTGCAGTGGCGTATTTATGGGAGTTATTATAAGTATAACAATAAATAAATAACATATTTTAATATTAATACCTATAAAATGTTAGAATTAAAAACATTTTTGCCCCCCCCGTAGAAAAATATGTTGAAAATACGCCACTGTCTCCCTGTTAACCAAATCATCAATCTCAACTCTGTACAGGTACCTAACTACTGATGGATATAAGGTGCCTTATCTCAACTTATGTTTAAAATCTCAAATAATTTTATCAAATCTAGAAACTTTCATTCTATCAAAAACAGTCATGACTTTACTTTCAATCAAAATGTTGGACTTCTTTATGTATAAATTAATTTTTTTTATGAAATTATAAGTGTCTGCTTCTACAACTAAGGTAATTATAGCTCTACAATTTTATATGCATTTACATTTTAATAATAACTTATTCAATTAAAAATTGAGAGAAGAATACAAGTAGAAGAACTTAAGGAAAATAATTAATTAATAAATAATTAAATAAATATAGTTTTCAAATACAATTTAGTTATTTATGTAGGTACATTACAATTGTTGGTTTTATCATTATATTAAGTTTAATATCTGTACTGTTTTAAAGACTCTTACTGTGTTGATTTCATTGTCAGGACATGTTCCAATAAGATTGCTTTTGTTGAGTTCCTATTTTTGTTTTTCGTACTGTCTGCATTCGCCTAGATGATAAATACATTTTTATACTGTGTGTCATCTCCACTATTTTTTTTATCAATGTACAGTTGTATGTATAATGTTAGAAAGTAGGCTACTTACAGAAAAACAAATACATTTACTATAACTTCTAAACATTAGAACTTATAAAACTATTTCGTCTTTATATATTTACGAAAAAATTATCAAATTAAAAATCACGAGCACAGCAATTTTAATTATGTTATTTCGAGTTGAAATAAACCCAGAAGTACAATCAATTATAATAATAAAATGTTGAAATCGAAACTCGAGTAGACTTAGGATTTATGTACTTGATGTAGACAAATAATACGATTTTAATATGATTGTATGTAAATAATGTAGTATAAATGTAACATTCAACTGCACTAGTGCACTACATCAAGGACTGCAAACACAGTTTGACAGTTTGCGATTGAGTAGTAGTATATTTACATACATCAAAAGGCCCTAAAATGCCATTATTTACGATTGACGTCATACTATATTCATAACCTAAAGTCCGTTATGAAAATTGACAAATGGAAAGTAATGTAAAGTAAATACCTACTGAATAGTGAAATAAAATATTGATAGGTGCATAATACAAGTGCTAAAAATGATATAATTTTAATACTAATTGTCTATTCAATTAATAATAATTTTAAAAAAAATGTTACACAAGATGAACCTATATAATAATACAATTTTCAATATTATGTAAGATTATAAGAGACTACTTGCAATTTTATTTGAAAACGCACTAAAAAAAAAAAATAATAATAACAAATAGTATATAAGTTAAGTGTTTACCATATTAGTGGTATAATAATACAAAATTGTGGTGACAACATTTCAAATTCTGGAAGAACAAAAATATCCTATGTATAAAATATCACTGAGCTAATGCACTTCTATTCTGGGCGCAATTATAACGATGTAGGTAATCTGATGAATCCAACATTCTGATAATATAAATACCGGTCACTATAAGCAGGGCCTGGACACTGATAAAAATTAACACGGTAAAGATACCCAATACCCAAAAACGCGGCGGCCATGTTGGCGTTGGTCAATCAGTGTCGCCATACCAGAAAAACAAAATATTTATTACAACATTTTTTCCAAAAATGTATAGATCCAATGAGTAGTCAATCTCTAGGTACTTGCTTATAATTTTAATTTTAGTAACCGTAAAAGATTAGTATAGATCAAATACACAATTAGGGAAGTATCAACTTACACGGTGAAAAAAATACACATTTTATTATATCAAAAATATATTTTATATTTAAGCTTAAATGCAGCTGATGTAGTTTTAAAAGCTAATAGCACTTGAGTGTTTGAAGGCAGACTTAGAGGATAGATTGAGAAGGCATTTTGAGGTATGAAGAAATAATGAAAGTCATGACAGGTGCTCAAATTTGAAGGAAAAAGATAAAAAAGCTTGGTTATTACAGGAATATGATGGCATGTTGAGCAAATATAAGAGTAGTTGACCCCACTTGCATGGAATAAAGGCAAAGCTGGAGAAGCAGAAGTAACTGTGCAATATTTCTGAAAAATAAAACATAAATTAATATACATGACCAATATACTAGCCATATTAAAATAATTAAATGATACTAATGAGATCACTTCACTGCCAATAATGTACAGTGTCTTAGATAGATTCCTATCTTATATTTTTGACATAGTTAATTGTAATTTGTATCTTTATTTGATTTTCAGGTATTCAGGATCCTGGT